TCCATTCCACTCTTACTCACACTTTAACTCTCACTCTTACTCTCACTCTCTCTCTCTCTCTCTCTCTCTCTCCCTTTATGTCTTCTCTGCCTTTGTCTCTTATTCTACCCTCTTACTTTTTAAATATTAAAGAATGAAAGGTTATTTTACCGTTACTGCATAACCCCTTTGGGCTAATGCATTTTGAGAAATGTGCAGCAAATCTGGTAAATCATTATGTCAAAAGGGGGTTTCAGTAAAGTTTGGGTTGCATGTGTATATCTCAGGGTATGATTGGTCCCTATGTCTCCCCTCTATCCATACTGCTGTTTTAGTCTGACCAAACAGTCATGGCATTATGCCCTGCCACAGAAAGGACATGTTGTTTGTCACAGAAAGGTGACTGTGCCTCTGTTTTCATACAGACACACACACACACACACACACACACACACACACACACGCACCCACACACAGGAGGAGGGAAGTAAAGGAAATAACTTAATCATACATGATTAGGGAAGTAAGCATGGCTTGTGTTCACACACACAGTACCCATAGCCTTGTGGAGTTAGCATACACAGGTAGGGTTTGGAAAGCACTCAGTTGTGCTTTGTACCCCCTGAAGACTGGCCTCTTGTTGTGAATGAATGGACTATATGAACAAATACTTGTTCAGACGGCACACATTACTTTTCTTTCCTAACAAAGTAGCTAGGGGTAATCAATGTAAGTTATCCAAAAGGCTTGTATTGCGTTATGCTTCTACAACCAATAAAATATTTATTTCAAACCAAGATAAGTTGGATTGAGACCCACTTGGGAGTTACAGCCAGTTTATCTTTGGTTGTGGCTTAAGCTTAGATTGTGAACCGAACAATTCATTTTTGGTGTGATTTACAATTGCTACCAATAGTCCCATTCTAAATATTGGATGTATTTAATCCAATTGAAAGCCTTCAGTTGTGTTAGGAGTTACACTGTAACTTTTATCTATCTACTTGAAAAGTTCTCTCTCACACACTTAACATGCACAATACACACATATATACACACATATCTCAGAGCAGACTTAGGGCTGGTGGTGAGTCTGAGACTGTGTGTAGAGTCACTGATGACACATGATTCGTTTTGGGGGTTTCCAGTGTGGGAAGGTGGTGTGTGGCTTATCCAATTAGTATGGGGCAGAGGGTGGACAGTAGTTGTGGGTTCAGTTCATCAGGATCACTCTAAATGCTCTCCTAAGGTGCGTCCCAAATGGCACCCTATTCTCTTTATAGTGTACTACATTTGACCAGAGCCCAACATCAATACATCATGCACAGCCCTCTCCCACACTCATATAAATAGCTGAGTAAGACTAGTGGCTTGGGGGAGGGAACTTTGCATACTACTCCTGTAGAGAGCAGAGCTATCCTGGCTTGGCTTTTGGCTTTTGGTGCCTTTTCCATTGTGTAGAAGATGACAGAGTCAGCAAATACCCATCTCACACACAATGTGTGTGTGTGTGTGTGTGTGTGTGTGCGCATACATGTATTATATTTGTGTTTCTAGGAAACCTCCCTGTTAGTTGAGTTTCTATTTGGGAGTGGGTGTGTGCGTCATGAACTGCACAGATGACTGACTTTGTGGCTTGTAGGGCTGTAATTCTCTGTGGGAGAAAGCAATAGATTAGTTAAAACCCCTTTTGGTCAGGGCAATAAATGGTTGAACGTTCCATTACTACTCTGTTACTACAGTCTTAGAAAAAAAGGGTTCCAAAGGAGTTCTTCGGCTGTCCCTATTTAGGATAACCTTTTTTGGTTCCAGGTAGAACTCTTTTGGGTTCTATATAGCACCTTTTTTTCTAAGAGTGCACCCTACAGATGAGAATCATATTTTATTTTGGGGTATGGTTAAGATGGGATCACATCAAGGCATTATCTGTCTCATTTCCTGAAGGTTTAAATGAGACACAGAGAGAGAGACACAGAGAGAGAGACACAGAGAGAGAGACACAGAGAGAGAGACACACAGAGAGAGAACAGAAGTGGTATGTAACTAAACATTGACCCTCTCACCCCATGTCTCCTCTGTCTTTTCTCTCTGAGTTAATCTTAGTTCATAAAATAAACTAAAGCCGATACGATCCCCTCATTATTCTCCCTGATTACATACAGTGGGGAGAACAAGTATTTGATACACTGCCGATTTTGCAGGTTTTCCTACTTACAAAGCATGTAGAGGTCTGTAATTTTTATCATAGGTACACTTCAACTGTGAGAGACGGAATCTAAAACAAACATCCAGAAAATCACATTGTATGATTTTTAAGTAATTCATTTGCATTTTATTGCATGACATAAGTATTTGATACATCAGAAAAGCAGAACTTAATATTTGGTACAGAAACCTTTGTTTGCAATTACAGAGATCATACGTTTCCTGTAGATCTTGACCAGGTTTGCACACACTGCAGTAGGGATTTTGGCCCACTCCTCCATACAGACCTTCTCCAGATCCTTCAGGTTCCGGGGCTGTCGCTGGGCAATACGGACTTTCAGCTCCCTCCAAAGATTTTCTATTGGGTTCAGGTCTGGAGACTGGCTAGGCCACTCCAGGACCTTGAGATGCTTCTTACGGAGCCACTCCTTAGTTGCCCTGGCTGTGTGTTTCGGGTCGTTGTCATGCTGGAAGACCCAGCCACGACCCATCTTCAATGCTATTACTGAGGGAAGGAGGTTGTTGGCCAAGATCTCGCGATACATGGCCAAATCCATCCTTCCCTCAATACGGTGCAGTCGTCCTGTCCCCTTTGCACAAAAGCATCCCCAAAGAATGATGTTTCCACCTCCATGCTTCATGGTTGGGATGGTGTTCTTGGGGTTGTACTCATCCTTCCTTTTCCTCCAAACACGGCGAGTGGAGTTTAGACCAAAAAGCTATATTTTTGTCTCATCAGACCACATGACCTTCTCCCATTCCTCTTCTGGCTCATCCAGATGGTCATTGGCAAACTTCAGACGGGCCTGGACATGCGCTGGCTTGAGCAGGGGGACCTTGCGTGCGCTGCAGGATTTTAATCCATGACGGCGTAGTGTGTTACTAATGGTTTTCTTTGAGACTGTGGTCCCAGCTCTCTTCAGGTCATTGACCAGGTCCTGCCGTGTAGTTCTGGGCTGATCCCTCACCTTCCTCATTATCATTGATGCCCCACGAGGTGAGATCTTGCATGGAGCCTCAGACCGAGGGTGATTGACCGTCATCTTGAACATCTTCCATTTTCTAATAATTGTGCCAACAGTTGTTGCCTTCTCACCAAGCTGCCTGCCTATTGTCCTGTAGCCCATCCCAGCCTTGTGCAGGTCTACAATTTTATCCCTGATGTCCTTACACAGCTCTCTGGTCTTGGCCATTGTGGAGAGGTTGGAGTCTGTTTGATTGAGTGTGTGGACAGGTGTCTTTTATACAGGTAACGAGTTCAAACAGGTGCAGTTAATACAGGTAATGAGTGGAGAACAGGAGGGCTTCTTAAAGAAAAACTAACAGGTCTGTGAGAGCCGGAATTCTTACTGGTTGGTAGGTGATCAAATACTTATGTCATGCAATAAAATGCAAATTCATTACTTAAAAATCATACAATGTGATTTTCTGGATTTTTGGAAGATGTTCAAGATGACGGTCAATCACCCTCGGTCTGAGGCTCCATGCAAGATCTCACCTCGTGGGGCATCAATGATAATGAGGAAGGTGAGGGATCAGCCCAGAACTACACGGCAGGACCTGGTCAATGACCTGAAGAGAGCTGGGACCACAGTCTCAAAGAAAACCATTAGTAACACACTACGCCGTCATGGATTAAAATCCTGCAGCGCACGCAAGGTCCCCCTGCTCAAGCCAGCGCATGTCCAGGCCCGTCTGAAGTTTGCCAATGACCATCTGGATGAGCCAGAAGAGGAATGGGAGAAGGTCATGTGGTCTGATGAGACAAAAATATAGCTTTTTGGTCTAAACTCCACTCGCCGTGTTTGGAGGAAAAGGAAGGATGAGTACAACCCCAAGAACACCATCCCAACCATGAAGCATGGAGGTGGAAACATCATTCTTTGGGGATGCTTTTGTGCAAAGGGGACAGGACGACTGCACCGTATTGAGGGAAGGATGGATTTGGCCATGTATCGCGAGATCTTGGCCAACAACCTCCTTCCCTCAGTAATAGCATTGAAGATGGGTCGTGGCTGGGTCTTCCAGCATGACAACGACCCGAAACACACAGCCAGGGCAACTAAGGAGTGGCTCCGTAAGAAGCATCTCAAGGTCCTGGAGTGGCCTAGCCAGTCTCCAGACCTGAACCCAATAGAAAATCTTTGGAGGGAGCTGAAAGTCCGTATTGCCCAGCGACAGCCCCGGAACCTGAAGGATCTGGAGAAGGTCTGTATGGAGGAGTGGGCCAAAATCCCTACTGCAGTGTGTGCAAACCTGGTCAAGATCTACAGGAAACGTATGATCTCTGTAATTGCAAACAAAGGTTTCTGTACCAAATATTAAGTTCTGCTTTTCTGATGTATCAAATACTTATGTCATGCAATAAAATGCAAATGAATTACTTAAAAATCATACAATGTGATTTTCTGGATGTTTGTTTTAGATTCCGTCTCTCACAGTTGAAGTGTACCTATGATAAAAATTACAGACCTCTACATGCTTTGTAAGTAGGAAAACCTGCAAAATCGGCAGTGTATCAAATACTTGTTCTCCCCACTGTAACTGTCCTGGTAACTAGCACTAGCAGTGCACTCAACCTTCACCTCCAAAGTAAATGTTTTATATTGTCCGTCTGTGGTCCTGGTTGTTTTTGTGCAGATGTCGAGCCATGGTGGCAGACATTGACAGCGTTAGTATTAGTTGAAACACTACATTAATGCTTAAATAAGTTGAGGTCTTTGAGGGATTTAGTAACACATTATGAGTAAATGTTCCTTTGATACCTTTTTAGATATATTTTTCAAAAAAAAAAAATGGTGTATGTTTTGTATGTACAGGTGAGCTATCCCTGCCGGCCCATGTCAGTCCGTACACAAAGGATCCCCGGGCACCAATGGAGAGCAGGGAGGATGCCTACGCCCATCTGGAGCTATGCACCCTGGAACAGTCCCTTCTGGCCACATGCGTGGGCAGCATCGCAGAACTCAGTGAGTGTGTGTGTGTCTTTGTGTGTGTCACATTTTCAATCTTCACATTCACTCAAACACTCTCAAACATATCACATACCCTCTTCATTTTATATTCAAAGATTCCCTCCCTCACACACTCTTTCTCAAACACCCACATACTCCTCTCGCTTTAGTCCTAGCCAGCGAGGAACTATCTGGTCCTTATGCATGTGATCCATCAGTCTAATCTAGTCAGGAGAAAGAGACAGTTCATGACACAGACTCCTACTGACCATGTTCAACCTGGATCTGAGTAGAGTGCCATCTTTCACATTTAGAGATGCCGAGAGGTACCAGCTGTTAACTCCAACATCCCCAGTCGGTCTCGTTCTTCTGTTGTTCATCTTCATTAAAACTAGGGCACCTAAGTAGGGCAGCACTGAACACCATTGGTTACTTTGAAAGATGGCACCCAAAATTCAAATTTTGAATCCAACTGTCCATTTGTCTCATGGATTTTGTTAGAATGTATACTTACTTAGAAGTCTCTTTCTGTAAGTCAGTTGTCCCCAAAACATTTTAAAGCGCTGTGCCCCACCTAGCTAAAGCCTCTCAAATAAACAAACCACATTTCTAGCCAGTAACTAAGGCCAGGATTCAAACCCATCATGCTTTGTCGACAATGCACCTTTTAAATCAAATCAAATCAAATTGTATTGGTCACATGCGCCGAATACAACAGGTGCAGACATTACAGTGAAATGCTTACTTACAGCCCTTAACCAACAGTGCATTTATTTTTAACAAAAAAAAGTAAAAAATAAAACAACAACAAAAAAAGTGTTGAGAAAAAAAGAGCAGAAGTAAAATAAAATAACAGTAGGGAGGCTATATATACAGGGGGGTACCGGTGCGGGGGCACCGGCTAGTTGAGATAGTTGAAGTAATATGTACATGTGGGTAGAGTTAAAGTGACTATGCATAAATAATTAACAGAGTAGCAGCAGCGTAAAAAGGATGGGGTGGGGGGCAGTGCAAATAGTCCGGGTAGCCATGATTAGCTGTTCAGGAGTCTTATGGCTTGGGGGTAGAAGCTGTTGAGAAGTCTTTTGGACCTAGACTTGGCACTCCGGTACCGCTTGCCGTGCGGTAGCAGGGAGAACAGTCTATGACTAGGGTGGCTGGAGTCTTTGACAATTTTGAGGGCCTTCCTCTGACACCGCCTGGTATAGAGGTCCTGGATGGCAGGATGCTAAAGGCAATGTTCCCGTGTTAGTGGAGACTGCATTCATGGTAAACACTGCATATGTCGGCTCAATCGGAAATTACCTTTAAATGGCACATTGTCGACAAAACGTTATCAGATTGAATCCCAGCCTTACTCTTTAGCCACAATCCAGTAGGGACTGGTTGGGAAACATTGCTTTACCATTTATGTCAAAGCTAGCATTGTAGAAAGGATGACAGACAGACAGTGTTGGTGTAGAGAACAACACTGGTCTCAGGTTTAACATTAGCATAATAAAGTTAACCCTGTTCACTGTCAGTTTTAAAAAAAAATCTGACTGTTGGTCTGTTTCTAGGGTCACTTCATTAGAATCAGAGGGGGATATCCTATCCACTGAATCATTAGGCTATATAACAGACGACTGTGTGTTCCCAAAACACAAGGGCACTTTCACGTCAGCCACAGGGTGTAATAGACCCCCTTGCTCCCCCCGCCCCACACACACACCCCAAACACACGCACACACACTCCCCTGTTTCCACAAACCAAACAAATTCCTTTTTTCTCTGGTCGTCTTGGGAGTAGCACCTAGCAAAACAGTGCACACACTTGTTCATTCTTGGAGACCAAGCGCATAAATTAAATGGGACAACATACAGTTTGTTTCACCATTTTAAAAAAATCATAATTGTGGTGCTTATTGCTATCACTAGAAATTAAACATTGTCTAGTATATCTACCCATATGGATATACAGTACATACTGTATACATGATATGAACTAAAACCTGCATATACTTTAACAGACACTGTGGCTACTTCAGGAGCCTTAGCATCATTAAACAAGGAAGTAGTCGTTTTAAGATTATAATCTCTTTCACAGGAGCAGGTTCTCTCACTGCTCTCTGGTTGCAACGTTTAAGAGCAAGCATCTCTTCTTTCTAATCCCTTCCACATATGTGCCATTAAACCCCTGCAACTTATCCAGAACGCTGCAGCCCGTCTGGTGTTCAACCTTCCCAAGTTCTCTCACGTCACCCCGCTCCTCCACCACACTCCACTGGCTTCCAGTTGAAGCTTGCATCTACTACAAAACCATGGTGCTTGCCTACGGAGCTGTGAGAGGAACGGCACCTCCTTACCTTCAGGCTCTGATCAGACCCTACACCCAAACAAGGGCACTACGTTCATCCACCTCTGGCCTGCTAGCCCCCCTACCTCTACGGAAGCACAGTTCCCGCTCAGCCCAGTCAAAGCTATTCGCTGCTCTGGCACCCCAATGGTGTAACAAGCTCCCCCATGACGCCAGGACAGCGGAGTCACTGACCACCTTCCGGAGACACTTGAATCCCTACCTCTTTAAGGAATACCTGGAATAGTATAATAGTAATCCTTCTACCCCCCCCCCCCCCACCCCCCTTTACTACCACTGTATTTTGTCTAAACTAACACCTGACTTATTTCACCTGCTAGCACTGACTTGTTTAAAGAAATTTACTTATTGTGATCGAGATGCAGTTGTCCCTGATTGCACTGACTTTGCTCACAGCTGCTTTTTTGAAGAAGTGTACTTACTGTGATCAAGATGTGGTTGTCCCACTGGCTATCCTAAGTTGAATGCACCAATTTGTAAGTCACTCTGGATAAGAACGTCTGCTAAATGACTTAAATGTAAAATGTAAGTGACTGCTTAGCTACGGCTGAGGACGACCATTCCTGATTTAACGGTCTATAGGGAAGGACGTGCCGTTGAGCCCAGCTAAACCCAACTCTGCTCCCAAACTTGACTTCTAATGAGCTGTATCTGAGACTCGATCATTGAACCATTCTTATTGTTGAATCTGTATAGAGATATAACAAGACACAGAATTGACTCACTTAAGATTAATGTTAGCTCCAGCTGCTACCTGTGATATCTCAGAAACTGAAGGGCAAACTCGCGATGTAGCTCTGTCTATAACTGTCCTGACAGAAGTTGAAAGTCCCACAGTTTTGGTAAGGAAACGGATATCGCATACAGAGCATTATGGCCACTGAGGTACATCATGCTACAACTACAGCATCCATGTTTAATTGATCATGTATAGCTGATGTTTTATGGATTTGTATCAGATGATGATGTGTGTGATACTGAATGTGCATGTGACTGTTTCCTCTCAGGTGACCTGGTGTCACGCTCCATGCACCACATACAGCGCCTCCGCGCAGTAAGCCCCTCCCTCAGCCCTATTCGCCCAGCTAATCAGCATTCAGTATTCTGGGCGCCCGATGCCATGCGTACCCTCTACTACTTCCTGTCTAGCCCACAGATGGAATCACTGGAGAACCCAAATCTAGAGCCCCCCAGGATGGCCCTTAGCAGTGAAAGGTAAGGGCTGTGTGTGTGTGCGTGCGTGTGCGTGTGCGTGCGTGCGTGTGCATTCTTGTATGTTTAGGCACACAGAGATATTGTTTCCCTCCACCTGGTACCAATTATAATCACAGGCCTCATTAACCTGTTAGCTTCAAGTCAAACTCAGCTCTGTGTCTCTGTTGAGCCCTGTGATCTCAGTAACCATAACCAGAGAGGAAGAGGTGAAGCAAGAGGTTTCACTCTCGCCAAAACCTGTCCAAAATAAGCCTGATGCGTTTCTATGGGCTTATTTTGGACCTAAGCTTGTCGCCTGCTTTTCCGCCTTTGGGACAACAACTCCCATTGTTAGGCTGAAGACATGAGCATCTCGACATTATATACAGATCTCTGCCATTACGACCTGCCTCTGTGCTCTGGGGAGGTGAAGAGACCGCATGTTCTAAAACAAACGTCACATCATGGAAACAGTGTTCTCTTTATAGTGCTTTGTTAACAGTATAAGGGTGCCCTTTTTCTCAATTAGGGCAAAAGTTATGGGAGGATGCTACATAAACACACATTAAGACTACCAAAAAATACCCTGCGTGAACTTGTTTTTGCCCACTGCAAGAAAAGGTTAAGTAGTCGTTATTGTACAAATGGCTGAGGAATTGGTCGTTTACGCCAGATCTCAGGGCATTGTGGGATTTTGAGTCATTGAGGAGAGTGAATAAATTATATCACGTCATTGCTTGAATCTTTGCTCCTCCCCCAGACTGTTTATGCTCCTCCCCCCTCTGATGGAGTGGATACGGATTGCCTTGGTGCACGCGGAACACCGCCGCAGCCTATTGGTGGACAGCGATGATGTCAGACAGACTGCCAGACAGCTCCTCCCAGGATTGGACTGTGAGCCCAGACAGCTGAGGTAGAAACACACTGAGCGTTGCATATTTAATGGGATACTCTCACCAGCCAGTTTATTAGGTACACCCATCTAGTACCGGGTCGGACCCCCCTTTGCCTCCAGAACAGCCTGAATTCTTTGGGGCATTCTACAAGGTGTCGGAAACGTTTCACAGGGATGTTGGTCCATGCTGACGCGATGGCATCACGCAGTTGCTGCAGATTGGACGGCTGTACATTCATGCTGCGAACAGCCCGTTCCATCTCATCCGAAATATACTCTAATGGGTTGAGGTCTGGGGACTGCGCAGGCCACTCAGGTAAACTGAACTCGCTGTCATGTTCCAGGCAATGTTTTTCCACTCCTCAATTGTTTAGTGTTGGTGAATCGCGTGTCCACTGGAGCCGCTTCTTCTTGTTTTTAGCTGATAGGAGTGGAACCTGTCTGTTGCAATAGCCCATCCGTGAAAAGGATCGACGAGTTGTGAGTTCCGAGATGCCGTTGTGCACACCGCTGTTGTACTGCGCCGTTATTTGTTTGTTTGTCTGTCCTGACATTCTCCTTCGACCTCCCTCATCAACAAGCTCTCTTCGCCCACAGAACTGCCGCTGACTGGATGTTTTTTGTTTGTCGCACCATTCTAACCCTAGACACTGTTGTGCATGAAAAGCCCAGGAGGGCGTCCGCTTCTGAGATACTGGTTCTGGCGCGCCTGGCACCGACGATCACACAGCGTGGTCGCTTAGGTCACTCGTTTTGCCCATTCTAACGTTCAATCGAACAATAACTGAATGCCTCGATGACTGTCTGCCTGCTTTATATAGCAAGCCACGGCCACGTGACTCACTGTCTGTAGGAGCGATCCATTTTTGTGAATGGGGTGGTGTACTTAATAAACTGTCCGGTGAGTGTATATTACTGTAACATGCAATGGAAGGATGCTGAACCATACTGTTGCCTTGTGAAACCAGTACATAACAGTAGGCCTACTGTCATTATTGAAGAGTTATGAATGTTTTCTTTGTAGCCTCGCTCTCGCTCTCTTTCTCTCTTTCTCTCTTTCTCCTCATCCTCTTGTCTCTCCCTCTCTCCTAGGCCTGAGTGTTGTTCCAGCTCATTTAGGCGTCTGGACTCTAAGGCAGCTACAGAGAAGCTTCAGCTGGACCTGGGCTTCCGCATGCTGACCTGTGGCAGAGCAGACCTGATTGGTCAGGCCACACAGCTACTGGGACCATCAGGGGTTAACACTATGGATGACCAGGTAGGACTGGGGATAGGTGGTGGGGATAGAGGTAGGGGGAGTTGGGGAGAGGGGTAGGACATATACATATTCAGATATAAGACTGACAGGTTTGAACATGAAGGTAAAAGAGACTGAGTATTTATCCTCCCTGTCAATACTTGTCAGTCTTCTGTTTGAATACATATACTGTATGCCCTACCCTGACTTGTGTTAGAGAGTGTAGAGACTCAATAAAACTGTTCAGAGTAAGATGTGTATTCTCTGACCTACAGGGTATGACCCCTCTGATGTACGCGTGTTCATGTGGAGACGAGGCTCTGGTCCAGATACTGGTGGAGGCTGGAGCCAACCTGGACCTGGCGGTAAACACTACTACTCTATAGATATTATTATAATATGATACAGATAGTATATCATGTAATGAGTTGAAAAATCCGGTAACTTTCTCAAAATTCCCAGGTTTTCCAGAAATCACAGTTGGAAGATTACTTGAATCCGAAGGAACTGAGCAGGAAATCCGGAATCCTCCGACCAGGAATTATGGAAAACCTGGGAATTTTGAAGAGTTACTGGAATTTTGCAACCCTAATCATCTAATATAATGGCTTTGTGCTGAAACTGCCTCTACTACAACATAATCATTTGATGGCAATGTTTACCAACAAGCTTGCTTTGAACGCATATACATTTTAGACTTAGATATGTAACGTTTTCCATTCTTCTCTCAGGTTCCTTGCTGTTCCCCCAGACAGCCCTCGGTCCACCCAGACAGTCGTGGTTGGGTGGCCCTCACCTTCGCTGTGCTGCATGGACACCTCTCAGTATCTCAGGTGAGACCTCACTGCCCAGTGGAAAAGGTCTAACACAGTTTCTCATGCACACATCTCAGCCTTGATAGTGCTACGTACCCTGTGTGTAGAATAGTATTAACCACTCCTCTGTGTTTCTGTGTTGTATAGCTGCTGTTGGAGGTGGGTGCAGACGTGGAGGGTACTGCTGTTACTTCCGGTCAGGAGAGCTCTGCTGAGACCCCTCTACAGCTGGCCTCTGCTGCTGGGAACTATGAAATGGTGAGCTTGCTGCTGGCCCACGGGGCCGACCCTCTACTCAGAGTGCATGATTGTAACGCTCTGACATCACCGCTCTACGAGGACATGAACTGCTTCAGCTACGCCGCTGCACACGGACACAGGTAGCTACACCTGTCTAACTAGTCTAGGCTTGGGCTATGTCTCAATAGTCTAAAGTGGTGTCCTTTCCTTGTCTATTTCCTTCAGTCAGAACTGTGAATGAATGGATACTCATCCCCTACTCTCCTACAGAAACGTCCTGAGGAGGCTTCTGACCCAGCCCCAGCAGAGGAAGGAGGACATTCTCTCTCTGGAGGAGATACTGGCTGAGGGGGTCCAGGAGGAGGAAGAGGAGGCTGGCTCACTACCTCCCCCCAGCCTCAGCCCTGGTAGCCCTGCTGTCTGCCCCAGTAGCTCCAGCTCCAGCCCCATGCCCAGGCTATGTAAGGCCAGGATGAAGGCGCTGCAGCAGGCTGCCTACTACAGCGCTGAACACGGCTACCTGGATGTCACCATGGAGCTACGATCACTGGGTATTTGTAGGCCTACTTCTTCTGTTTTATACTATCATCATTGTTTTCTGAAGGACTTGTCATGAATCACTCATTCCTAAGCACAGAAATATTATTTGATCCTCTTTAGGTTGTTTGTTCTCAATGACTGACCTAGGTAAATAACCTCTTGGGACCCTAATTTGTTCCCCAGGTGTCCCCTGGAAGCTCCACGTGTGGCTGGAGTCCCTCCATGTAGCCCAGCAGCTGTTCAGGGATGAGGTGACCCTCTCTCTCCTCAGAGACTTCACCACTATCAGGCCACAGGACTACTGCCAGGAGCTGGTCTCGCCCGCCCTCCCTATCATGTTCAACATGCTTGCAACCAGCAAGGTAGCAATGACTGCTAGGCTACCTTGCAGTCCAATTTCTCCTTCAGTGAGTGTTGTTTGGTGTTAAGTTTACCATGTAGACTACAGTATGTCAGTACAAGTTTTCATTGAGTAAATGTTCAATGAAACCTCAAACTTAAAGCAGAGTATGAATCAGAAATCGATCCAACATCTAAGAATTCTCAAATCAGTTGTTATAAAATGGGAAGCAAACTTCCAATAAAATCACGACTCTTTCTGAACATGATTATATCCCTTTAGGACTGTGCCATAACCAAGAGACTGTCAGCCATCTTCTCTCACTGTTACGGCTCTGCTCCTATTCCCTCTGTTCCTCAGATGGACCTCACTCTCTCCACACAGCTAGGTATGGAGACTGGCATATTCTCTCTATATGGAACAAACTACAATCTGTTTCATTTTTCAGATTTTTGGGGTCTGAGTTCTCACTTCATTTTAGCAAGTATAACTCCAACTTTTGTCTAAATCATGCTTAGTTGTGTACATGTATTTCAATGCATGTTTCTGACTCTAAATGGTGTAAACGTCACTTCCCTCTCTCTCCCACCAGATGCTCATTTCCTGAACAACCCAGAGATGTCTGACGTAATGTTGTTAGTGGAAGGCCGTCCCTTCTACGCCCACAGGGTCCTCCTCATGTCTGCCTCCGAGAGGTGAGCTAGCACTTCCCTCCTCACACCTGAGGTGGCAGCCTGAGACTAAAAGCATAGTATGTTTATCATCAAGTATGACCTTGTGTGGAGGCTCTAGTGTTTTCAGGGCAGCCTGTGCTTTTGTGTCCACAAGTTGGTTACCAAATCTCTTTTGTCTCTTTCAGGTTTCGGTCCCTGCTGAGTTCCTGTGGGTCAGACACCAGCACCATCCACATCTCTGACATCACATACAGCACCTTCCAGAGGATGATGAGTTGTCTGTACTGTGGGGGGACTGAAGGGCTGAGGCTGTCACAGGCTGATGCTATGGAGGTAAGAAATGTATCCTCATTTACACTGATAGAACTTCATTCATACATCCCATTGTTGATCCATACATTTACCACAGTGGTTAAGCTTTATGAATGGCCCCCACTATCACTTGTCATTGAGGAGTGGAAAGACAACATAAATTGAATGTATGTTTGGAGGGGTGATTTGTGATGGAAGTATTCTCTGCTCCTCTGTCAGCAGCTGCTGCCAGTAGTCCGTTTCTTCCAGCTGAAGGTCCTAGAGAGGCAGTGTGAGATCCTGCTCTCCCAGAGTATCACCCGGGACAACGCAGTCAGCATCTACTTGATGTCTAGGGTAAGAATTCAAACCTTGTTATCATGAAAGGTAGTCCTATGCAGGCTTAAAGCTATAAGTCATCATTTTATTTGTGTGTTATATGCACCTTGAAATTAGTACATGCAATCCATTATAATGATCATAATAGATGAAAAGTGTGCCTGTGCGAGAGGTGCTTGGATCAGTATCATTGTAATATGTGTCTTTCTTTCTCTCTCTCTCTCTCTGTGTGATTCTGTACAGGATCACGGGGCGGCAGATCTCAGGAAGTTCTGTGAAGGTTTCTTCCTGCAGCACATGGAACAGCTCCTGGAGAGAGAGGACTTCCACAGGCTGCTCATGGGAGGGGCCCGTCAGGAACAGCTCTCCCCAGAGACAGAGCCCCGGAGTGGACCATGTCAGGACCGACACTCCTCTCTCCTCCTGGAGGATCTGGAGGTCACTTTGGTCCACAGGCTGCTCTCGCTCTACCCTTCCTGCAGAGAGTGAGCCACCGGCTTCGTCTCAATAGTCATAGTTGGCTTCTTTGTTCTTCCATTGTCTCGTGTCCTTCATCTGTACTGATGTGAAAGAACTACATAGGTGAAAGACAAGTAGCTATATCTGCTCTTAAATGTCAGCTAGGGTGAAGGAAAGGGGATGAGGAGAGGCCACATTAGACTATTGAGATGGACCCCATGCGGGTGAAGGACAGACATACCAGCAGGCCTGGAGATAAATAACCGGTGTAGTGTAGCGTAGTATCTCGCAGTGCGGTGATGTCACCACAATCGCCAGCACAGGCTGGTAATGCTACTCTGCCATGAGGGAGAGAAGAGGCAATCTAGAAATGGTCCATTGCTTAAGAGAGGAAATGGATGCAAAGCACTATGGCTGGAATTTATCTAGAATAGGATGAAGGTTTATGGATATACCTCAAATATAATAACAGGTACTGAGACTCTTTGTTAGTAAGAAATAAAACATTTAGAGCATTTTGGACTTCTGTTACATACTAGAGAGTCCCTCCTCTCTCATGGGAATGGAGCTTGGGGAGATAGATATTATACAGGAATAACAGAACTCTGAATATTTTATTGTACTGTACATATGTCAATAAATATTTTGCTCACAATAATTAGCATCAGTGTTTTTATATGAATCCTTTTTAGTATAATATGCACCCATGGAAGTGTATAAGCTAAAAAACAAACATCACCACCACGCAATTCCAAAGTCAACAGATTTATTTCCTTTTGCACTGAAGTTGTTCACAGTTATGTCACAAGGGGATACATTGCCAGTGGTTTCCTGCTAAATACCAGCGCTCCTGGTGTTTTGTTCTACTGTATGTCCATCATCCTGTGTGGCCTGGTTACCCAATAGTACAAAATAGAAAGAATAACAATGATAGGTATTGCTTTATTTTATCTCTCTGATACCAATACCCACCCCAGACAGAGTTCGTGACCAGAGTATCAGGTCTCTCTTTGAGAGAGATTGTGTGTGTGTGTGTGTGTGTGTGTGTGTGTGTGCAGAGGATGCATTGCACAGTAAATGTGCACAACAGTATAAGGAAGGAGAGGGGAGGGTGCGAAAAAGAACTCAAAGACGAACAAACAACCGAAGTGGTGAGAGAAAAGAAAAATAAGAGAAACAAATTAACAGACAGGAAAGAAATAAATAAAGAAAGAGGGGGGAAAGGGACAGAACAATTCCAACAACAACATGCAAAGAAAAGACAAATGTTGGACATGCAAACGACAATACAAGGTAAAAGCTAAGAGTAGAAATCCCCTTGGTTTTTTAAATAAGTTTGTCAGCAAATTTGTTTGTATTTACAAGGCGAGTGGCTGGAGTGTTGTCTTTGTCGTCGTACACACACAACGAGAAGGAACGGACAATTATTGTCAACAGAGGGCTCGTTCCTCTCAAAGAGACTAGTCTACATTCTTAAATTACTGTAAATCATTTGCCAAATGTATATATTACATTTTTTCATCGAAGCTGGGAAAAAATGAATGTTCACAAAAACATTTCAAGAATTCGCAATGATCAATAAATTAAACATGACAAAAAAACAATCCTTAAATTATCTAATACATTTTCTACATCATTTATATAAATAACCCAGAATAAATTAAAACAAACATGACAAAAAATACAATAAGGTACACAAATATATACAATAATTATGTCCACTGTTGTCTGAATCCTGCAGATATTTCAAAGGAACATGAACAAAACAAATGGAAAAAAAATAAACCCTGAAATGATTCATCCTTCAAAAGGTAACCGAAAATAAAATACAACATTTAATCAATAAAACGCATCCAAAAAGTAGAAAACACAAAAGATAGTGATAAGTTAACACAATTCTTAGCTAAACATAATGTCACAACTACACAAACATTGTACATATGGTAACATAGTTAGTCTGTACAACAGAATAGATCATTCATTTGTGTATCCCTCCCTCCTCAATGCCCACCCAAAGTCAATTAACTAAATTTCATTTCATTTACAGCAATGACACAGAGTCTGAAGAAGTCTAAAGTGTTAAAATCCTGTAGTTCACAAAGAAGGACTACATTAAAAATAATTACAATCCAGCAAACGTTTAGCCAACGTTCAGCCAACGTCCATCCAACGTCCAAGAGTCGCGCCTCCTCTCTCCAACTTTCATAGGAGCCAGTGGTTCTACTTCCATTCGTCTTTGTGCACAAGTCTTTACATCCCCCCGGTGTGTGTGGGCGTGTGTGTGTATGTGTGTGTGTAGGAGGAAAGACAATGAGGAGAGAAAGGAGGAGAGGGGATGCTTGTAGTATAGGTTTGACAAACATTATTGTCTTTTTAAGGCTTTTCTCCAACTCTACGGCTAATATGTCTCTGGGTGTCTGTCACGATGAAGAGAGAGTCTCTAGTACTCTGGTGTTTTGTGTATGTGTGTGTGTGTGTGCAGGTGGAAAGCAGTAGGGGATGAGGGATGCTTGGGGAGGAGGGGGACAGCAGTGTGAAGTGTGTGAAGTCTTTCTCTTGTCCTCCGTCTCTGGCTCACTTACTCCCGTTGTTGACAAAGTGCCCCAGGTTGGGAGACACACTGTCCTCCATCTTGTTTCTCTAATAGGTTTTAGTGATGATCCCTGGTGGTAGAGACAAGGTCAAGCCATCATCACAGAGCAGAGGACACACACACCGGCACACACACCCCACGGCGTGGGAAAGGGACGAGAGGGTAGAGGAACAGAAAAGAAACATGGCTACATGTGGAACTTATTATTGTCAAATACTGATCAATGATCGATTGCTAAACTCAAATAGTAGTCATTCCATTATTATACAGTACAAAAGTTTATCTCAGCGATAATCAAAAGTAGATTTTCTCGAGACACACACACTAAGCCTACTGACTAAAGCAAAGAAACCAGCAGCATCTCTCATTTCATTTCTCATCTCTCACACACTCTTGTGTGTTTGTATTGGGTTTTGAATGACCTGATAACAGGTGGTTATTATCTAATCATGCAACCGAGAGCTAGCTACTTCTCTCCGGTCTTAAGGTTGTTCCCCAGTCCGGCTGGTGGCGGCCATCTTTGTTTGTTTGTCTTTGCCCGGAGGCGGGGGGCATTTAGAGTCAGTGGGCTGGGTGGGCTGGGGCTGAGTGGGCGGGGGACATGGCTCATTTCGCCTGCTGCCGGGGGCATGCTTGGCGGGGGCGGGGTTAGGTGTGCCGGGCGTGCCAGTGGGGTTGTGCGACGCCTGGCTGTTCTTCTCGTCTGAAAAAAGCTGTTTAATTACGTCAAAGAAGTTACTCAACGGGCTGCCTAGGTACACAGACGGGAAGAAAAGAAAAAAAAGAGAGAGAACAAACAACGAATGAGCAATGGGGTTAACGTGAGGAGGAAGAGGAGAGGGTGATGGGAGTAGAGGGGTGATGATGAGGAAAGGACTGGAGGTAAGGTTCCAGAGGTAAAAAGGAGACTCGTAAGCCACGTGGATGGAAAAAAAGAGCATTTGATTATATGTGTTAGACTGTTAGTATGTACAGAGGGAAAAAAGTATTTGATCCCCTGCTGATTTTGTACGTGCCCCATGCAAGCATATCATCTAATTTAATGTAGGTTATTTGAAGGAAGCAGAACACAACAAAAATCCAAAAAAACGTCAAAAATGTTATAATTTTGGCATTTTGAGGAAATAAGTTTGAACCTCTGCAAAAAGACTTATACTGGATTGAAACAAAGACATTTGGATTGTCAGACTTTTTTAGTTGGCCACCAGTTTTGACACATCAGGGTTTGTCCCATCTTTGCAGATCTTTCCAAGTCATTAGGTTTCGAGTTGACAGGTAACCGCCTCAGCCCTCCAGATTTTCTTAGGATTAGGTCTGGAGAGGCTGGCCTCAGGACTTAATGTGTCCTTCTTGAGCCACTCCTTTGTTGCCTTGGATGTGTGTTTTGGGTCATTATCATGCTGGAATACCCATCCACGACCCATTTTCAATGCCCTGGCTGAGGGAAGGAGGTTCTCACCCAAGATTTGACGGTACATGGCCCCGTCCATCGTCCCTTTGATGCGGTGAAGTTGTCCTGTCCCCTTAGCAGAAAAACACCCCCAAAGCATAATGTTTCCACCTCCATGTTTGACGGTGGGGATGGTGTTCTTGGGGTCATAGGAAGCATTCCTCCTCCTCCAAACACGGTGAGTTGAGTTGATGCCAAAGACCTCGATTTTGGTCTCATCTGACCACAACACTTTCACCCAGTTCTCCTCTGAATCATTCAGATGTTCATTGGCAAACTTCAGACGGGCCTGTATATGTGCTTTCTTGAGCAGGGGGACCTTGCGGGCGCTGCAGGATTTCAGTCCTTCACGGCGTAGTGTGTTACCAGTTGTTTTCTTGGTGACTATGGTCCCAGCTGCCTTGAGATCATTGACAAGATCCTCCCGTGTAGATCTGGGCAGATTCCTCACCGTTCTCATGATCATTGCAACTCCACGAGGTGAGATCTTGCATGGAGCCCCAGGCCGAAGGAGATTTACAGTTATTTTGTGTTTCTTCCATTTGCGAATAATCGCACCAACTGTTGTCACCTTCTCACCAAGCTGCTTGGCGATGGTCTTGTAGCCCATTCCAGCCTTGTGTAGGTCTACAATCTTGTCCCTGACATCCTTGGAGAGCTCTTTGGTCTTGGTCATGGTGGAGAGTTTGGAATCTGATTGATTGATTGCTTCTGTGGACAGGTGTCTTTTATACAGGTAACAAACTGAGATTAGGAGCACTCCCTTTAAGAGTGTGCTCCTAATCTCAGCTCGTTACCTGTATAAAAGACACCTGGGAGCCAGAAATCTTTCTGATTGAGAGGGGGTCAAATACTTATTTCCCTCATTAAAATGCAAATCAATTTATAACATTTTTGACATTACGTTAATACTGTCTCTAGGCTGAGGTTATG